TGTATGTTTGCACATGATTCTCAGCATGGAGTTACTGAGGTCTACAGAAGAGGCTGTTCGAGTACTTCACAATTTTGACACGGTACACATTCTTGTATTTGTAAAGAAAAAAGTATTTAGATTGTGCTTGAATTGAATAATAAAGTTTTAAAATACAGGGTGTCATTTAATTGCTGTGGACATCTAATGCAATTATTAAAAAAAAAAAAAAACTTTAATGTTTCAAAATAATCGTATTCCTTAAGATCAGTTTTCATATATGCATTAGGAGTTTATATAGCAGAACAGCTGATCTTGAGATTTAAGTCTCAACTCTATAAAACCATGCAAGCTGATAAAGACCAACTAGTTTCACCATGTTACTCTTTAAATAAAACCCTTTTCAATCAAGTGTTTAGTTTGCATCAATATTAAAAGGCAACTTGTTTTCAAATGGTTTGAGAAGTTCTGAGTATGTTTGTGAGACAAAAAGATTCATTCAGACAGACATTTCAAACACCACTTTTTATTGAAAACAGTTTATGAGGAGCTGGACGCAGCCACTGCTGCCCGACGGGGCTTGGGCACGGTTCCCTCACGGAACCCATTTCTGAAATACACAAAAAACATACTTGAGTCAACAGCACCACAGGATGTCACAGACAGTGCTAAAGATAATTCACAAGCCCATACCATGACAGCATGGGTCTCAAATCTATCGATCAATTCCCTCTTAACAGTTTCAAAACCCAACTGGTTTGCACAAAAACGGAACAGAAAACAGACCCTAAAAGACACCCATCTAAATGTACAGGTCAGGCTTACCTCAGTACAAAATCATTATCACTGGACAGTCATTTGTTCAGACATTTATTTTTGAACATCATTGGTAAACCACTGTACAAATGCTAAATTTAACCAGAGTACAGCCACTCAGGTTTTAGGCAAACAACAAATCTCAGGATCAACAGGGACGTTTCTATCATTGTCAGTCAAATGTTTCGGCATCAAACCCCAATCCCTGTACCCAGCTTTGAACTTTCACTGTATTAATGCAGGATAATATGCAAAGGAAAAAATTTTTAATTATAAATTACATGAGGCAGGAATCTGAAAAAAAAAAAAAAAAAAGATGCCAGGCAAAACACACAACAGTTCAAAAATGCTTCAAGAAAACATTAAACCAAAAGATTAAAGTATGAAAAAGAAAAACAACCTTAAAAGCATGAAAATTCACTACATTTACTCACCTGAACCTGCGGAACACAACCTTCAGGTGTCTCATGCGGCCGGTTCCTGTGGTGCTGCGCCTCTTGGCCTTAACGCTCCAGTTGTCTACAAACAAATACAATTATATTTCAAACGCATGAAAATAACATGCATTCCTCCAGCAGTCCATAAACATCTCCGGCTTACCTCCGTTCAAACCGGTTATCACTGGACAGTCATTTGTTCAGACATTTATTTTTGGACATCACTGGTAAGCTTTGAAACGCCAGACAGAACACATGCGTTTTTGCAGTTCTCTCTCAAGGAATAGTTCACCCAAAAATGAAAATTTGCTTTAAAAAAAAAAGAAGGTGTTTTAATTTTAAACCATTGCGACTGGTCAAGGAGTCCATAATCCACAAAGCTTCAAATGAAAATGTTTTGAACTGTTTTCGCTTATAAGCGGCGCTTGATCTGTGCATATTTCTCTCCCTATTCAGAAGAGACGACTTTTCACTGGAGAAAGCAGTATTATGGATAGAGGACTTGAAGTCTTAATGATTGATTTGTTTCTTACAAACGCACAGCTTTTCACTTCACAAGATGTTAACTGATGGACTGGAGTGGTGTGGATTATTGTGATGTTTTTATCAGCTGTTTGGACTCTCATTCTGAAGGCACCCATTCACAGCAGACGATCTATTGGTGAGCAAGTGATGTAATGCAACATTTCTCCAAATCTGATCCCATGAACAAAAACTCATCTACATCTTGAATGGCCTGAGGGTTTTTCAATATTTTTCCATTTCTGGGTGAGCTAATTCTTTCATATTACCTACGCTCCCGCTTGAAGCGTGTCAATAAAGCTACTTGAATCAAAATCAATGCAAAACAACCAAATATTGAACTGTGATAGTTCACAGACAAATCAAGACACTTACACTTTCTCTTGCGCTTGGCAGGGTAGCCACACTTTCCGCAGGTGGACTTCTGCAGGTGATACGCCTTGGATCCACAGCGGCGGCACAGAGTGTGCGTCTTATTATGACGCTTACCGAAAGATGACGTACCCTTCGTCTGAAAAACAAGAAATTCATCAATTCACATTACTGCTTGCATCTTAAATGCTCCTTTTCATATGACAGCTGTCTCAAAACATAGCAAGCTGCCTACCTAGATAGCATTCTTTCATGTGCAGCTTGCTTGGTTGGGACACTATTATGCCTATAAATAAAGTTTATGTAGGCAGCTCACTATGATGACAGCTGACTACATTCTGAGATGACCCTCAATATGCTGTCTAACTAGGTAGCCAGCTAGGTTAGATGAAGGTAGATAAATGAGTTTAGACTATGATGCTCAATAAGTGTGTTTAGACACAATAATGATAAAAGGTAACTAAAGACCATGACTTCCAAACAAACCTGTTTAGGAAGGAAAGCTAAATTGAAGCTAAATTGGCAGTGAGATTATAATGCACAAAAATACTGTCTAGAAAGGCAGCTTAATAGACTCGGACCCACAGCTCAGCATGTTTGCAGAAAGGTTAACCACCTAAACTCATGCCACTAAAGTCTCCAATAAACAGAACTCGCTTCGTAACGCTGGTCTGACAGTTTCATTTACACATTTAAACAGCCGCAGACATATTGACATCCAAAACTACGTATTTAAGATTAATCGAAATGAACACTGGAGATAGTTTAGAGCTAACCGGTATATTTCTCGAGCTCGTTAGAACTGTCCGAAAGGCTAAGCAACATGCTAACCGATAAAAAAATATCATCTATAACCTCTCACCATCGAGGAATCACAGACATCATGGATGATATTGAGCCTTAAATATATATGCTTGTGATATTTTTAATGGTACAGTGCTTAAAAACAAGCCATGAATCAGATGTTAGAGGATTTTGACGGCAAGGCGCTGCGAAACTCACCATCTTTCCTCAGAGCTGATTCGAAAGAGACCGGAAGAGACGCTGGTGTACCGTTAAAACACCACCGGCGCGCTTTCGGTGCAACACCTAAATACGTCCCCCTACTGTTACACTGCGGAGTTCTTCATTCACAACGACAACAAATGAACATACACCAATTATTTTAATTGTAAGAAAGATCAAACGTATTTTTTATCTAAAAAATCCCTGTTCTGGTCACAGAAAGTTTTTATTAATTACAGAAATGGCATGTAGATCTGTGATAATAACAAAGAGTGAAAAATTTAAGGGGGTCTGAATACTTTCCGTACCCACTGTATATTTACACAGTGAAAACATACACATTTCTTCTTAAGGAAATGTGTTTTTACATCTATAGGCTATCCTAAACAACTGTATGCTAGTTTAACTGAGCATTGTATATGTAGAGGTTAGGTTTAGAGGGAGGATTTAGTGTAGTAGGCGTATTAGCCTTAGCCTATATAAAAACAGAAATCAGTGGAAAGTCCAGTAATATTTGATTGTGTGTGTGTGTGTGTGTTTATTCTTGTGGGAACAAAGCCAGCAAGTTTTATTGATTTGTCTTTTCCAAACGGTCTTTGCTAGGGCTCACAGCCACCGACGGCAACCATAAACATAAATTACAGAGTTGCCAAAAACGTCTGGACTCAAGTCGTCCCTGAGACAAAAAAAACAAAAACAATTTGAAATGACCTTCATTAGGCTGCCACAAGCCTCTGATATCACTGAATGGCAAAGCTATTCTTTCCCATGCATTTCAAGTCTTTGACCCTTGTTATAGCTATAATATGATGTAATTCCCTTAAATTTGATGTGAAAGATCAAAGCATTCATTTAAAAGGGGGATGAGTTACAGCATAACAGGGTTGAAAACATAATATGTTTACAGCGTATTATTTACTAAATCAAGACAATATTATTATATTATAACATGCAAATCATTTTAACAGAAAAAGAATGCTACAGTATAGCAATCAAAAATGCACAGTAAAAACGTTCTAAATCTTTCTAGGGTTTTCTATACTATATTACTATATTGTGAAAAAGTATATAGTATTAGATGTGCCATTTTATTGGAAAAAAACATTGTAAAATTATGGGTTTTGGAAGTAAAAAATATGGATGAATAAAATTAAATTAATGAAATGAATGGTGAGCCTACTTTACAGTGAATGTACATACTTGAAAAGGGCATTCAGAAGTTTTTTGATTATATTTTATTTAAATAGTTCCTCTTAATAACAACAACAACAATAAAATAATAATAATAATAATAATTATTATTATTATTATTATGGGAAATGTGGACGAAAGCTTATTTATTCAGCTTTCAGATGATGTATAAATCTCAATTTCGAAAAATTGACCCTTATGACTGGTTTTGTGGTCCAGGGTCACATTTATTATTTAACACTTTACAATAAGGACATATTATTTAATATTAGTTAACATGAAGTAACAATGAAAAGTACTTCTAAAGCATTTATTAATATAGTTCATTTCAACATTTATTAACATTATTAAAATCGAAAGGTAGACATTAGCCTATTTAATTGATGTGAGTTAACATTAATAATGAACAGTTAATGAACGTTAACAAAGATTAATAAATAGCCTATACTGTAACATACGTATTGCTCATTGATGGATAATTTTAGTTAGGCTAATACAGTAGCTACCTTATTGTAAAGTGTCACCCGTTAATATTATTTTATTTAGCCTAGTTAATGTTTACGGCATTCTTTTAATATCAAGTTATCATAAATGCGTTTTAGCTATGTCTCACTGCAAAGCCCCAATTCGTCCTCGTGTAATTGCAGTCATTTCCGCCGCATCACGTTTTCTCTGGTTTCATGAAGGGTTTGACAGCAGAGTCTGCAGTGCCTCGCTGCCTCATTGGTGCTGATGAGAGGGAGTGGAGTGCGTCACCGCATTCTGCAGGAGCGTCGCGTGATGCAGGTTATGCCAGATTTACTACACGTCCACATATAGACGATAGACCTCAATGGGCAGCTGTAGCTTCGCTATATCTGACAGGTTGCTCAACAGCGATACTGAGGCGAAAAGCAGCTGCTATGGAGCCTGAGCGCGCATCGGTGAAGACGGTAAACACGCGCGGGTGTGACTCAATGCGTCTTCTGTAGGGCAAACGCGACCGTGGGGTTTCTCTTCTGAAGGATGGGCTACTCAGATCCGACAGCTAGTAGAGATCTGTTGGGAAACAGATCCCTGTGTTTTATTTTCATATGTGCTTTTGGACTGGTCACCTTATTTCAGCAAATCCTCTATGGCAAGAACTATATTAAAAGGTAAGGTGATTATTTTATTAAATGGTGCATAATGAAAAAAAAATCCATATTCTATGAGGGTATGTGGATAATAAAGCAAAATAGCCTTCAGTAATTAATCTTAGTCATATTGCACCCACATTGCTCCAAAATCTCTTTTAAACTTGAGCTCCATTAAATCATGCCATACACAGTCCCCTGAATGACTGTCTATGCAGCGAGATGCTTAAGTCTGTTTTTCTTCTTCCTCTGTGTTTATTTTTCACGTCTTGGTTTGTTTTTTACCTTCTGCCCTTTAAACAGCTCATACATCTTGCGTAAACCTGTGTGACAGCAAAAAGTCATATATTGCAGAACCTTATTATAAGCAATTGCGTCGCTTTGAAGATAAACTGGAAGACTGTGATGTAGCCTCTGTTTTTTTTTGTTTTTTGGCATGAGCACATAGCCTAGATTCAAGCACTAGAAATGAATTATGCATTTTTTTAAATCATGGTGGTGTTTCGTAAGACCCAGATTTCATGCCTTTTTTGCGGCCACTTGCATCAAAATGACATCATACCTACCGAGAATAAGTCCCGGAAGGTGAATCATTTTAGTTTGTTGTTTTCGGGAACGGAGGTAAGCAGAGTGAGATGGCTCAGCATTGCGAGGGTGTTTGAGAGTGCGTGTGTGTGTTTGTCTATGTAAAATGGCGTCTCTCGTAAGGAGCGCCCCGCAGTGCATTATGGTTCCTGCGTCCCAGCAGATGCCCATATGCTGAATTAGAGCATAGAGCATTCTCACACTCCCACCTGAACCCCCCTCTTGCGTCTCACACACACTCAGGATTCATGACATCAGAGGCTGACGGCTGCGGATTGCATGAATGCTGTTCTGTACCCCGTATCTATTCTGCTGAAGTGGAGAGAAGCAAGTGTAGGGGTGGGTGAGTGCTTTTGGCTTTAACTGCAGCTTCAAACCCAGCAATGAGAGTAAACGGAGACCAAATGGAGACTTTTGAGTCTTCTGCTTCTCAGATTTTCTTCTGTCAAAAAACCCTACATCTCGTGTATTAGTGTTTCAGAACAGCGAATGAAAAACTAAGATCAGATTTTCTAAGAAACCATTATGAAAATGAACTCAAATCCAATCAAATTAACTCAAAACCAAGCAACAGTCTGAATATGAAACATTTATCTCCCAAGACCAAGTTATCTGGGTTATGCCATATATATTTTGTTTGCCAAGGCAAATGCTATTTACTATTGATAAGTGGCCAAATGGTAGTGGCTATATTTCTGGTTAAGGATTTGAACAAATCTCAAACCTTGGCAAATAATAAAAACACTCCCAAATCCCACTAACTTGGAGAGGGTGTCAACTTTTAACTTTTAAGCCATATCAAGGGGTATTGTAGTTGAAAATATATAGTGAAAATATTCAAAACACCTTAGCAGCTGCATAGAAATGCCTTGAAAATCAACCCTACTGAAGAAAAAACAATAGCAACCCTCATAGAATTTGTAATGGTTATAATGTCTATAATGGGAATTGTATTGGTTTGAATGGAAACTGTAATGGTCCCTGTGGGTTTCTACTGGTAATTGTTTGCCTATTGGTGGCATGTTAAAACCACTAAATTCTAATGGGATGGCCACAACAAAGATAATGGTTTAATGGTTAGAAGTTAGTGGTTAGTAATGTTTTTAATGGTATTTTTTGTGGAAACCATTAGAACTTCTTCAGCAGGGAACCACAACATCCAGTGAATCTTGCCACCATGCTTTACATATATTCAGATCAAAACTGTATTTACTTTACAACAGGGCTAGTCAACTAGCTTTATTTGAGGGCTGGATTATCGAACTGAAAATTTGAAGGGGACCAAGAGGGTGAGGGCCGTCCCGATCTCTTTCTGGGGGGGGCTATAAAATTAGAAATTCAATTGAAATGCATATTCAGCAGTAAAATGAACTAATATTACCAACACCAAGATCTATAAAAGATTGCTGTCTGACAATCAATTCAAAAATAATTAATTAAGCACACATTTTTCTGTAATTAATCATGATTAATCACATATTTATATTGTCATAATTTCACATTGAAACTCCAAATTAATGTAGACAAATGTAGAAAACGTAATGACAAATGTGTGCATTAATAATGCATCCACAGAACTGAATAAAACGTCCTCTTAAACGCTCCTGCCAGGTGAAATTACAACTTAGAATTATTAAAAACACTTTATGCTGGAATTGGCCTTCTAATGTCATTGCAAGAAGTCTTAAAGCTGTCAGGTTGGCGCGGAGTTACAACTAAAAATAAAATCGCACCGAACTGGCCAGGACAAGAGGTGATTGCTGCATATAGACGTTTGTGCATATGAATCAAACACAACAAGGTTATTTTATTACATTTTCCTCCTAGCTCCGATTACACTGGTGCTAGATTGAGGATCGGCATCTGCAGTCTTGTGCCAGGCTTGAAATTTCCTCTTTGTCCTGGAGATATTGATTGGCTAAGTGGCTGTGCCATGCAGAAAAAGTATTGACATTTAGCTACTTCTTCAGCTGTGACCTCTTCATTATCTACTGGACTGCAGAAACACATCTGTCCTTCATATGCACCTTCTCTCTCCTCTTCCCATTGGCAGCTGAGTTTGCGTTTCTCGTCGAAGTGCTGATGTCCACATTAAATTGATGCTTTTAAAGACACGTAGAAAATGGCTGCGCATGTACTACAGGGACTAGAACTGGTTTAGGACAGCAGATTTAAAAAAAAGACCACATGAAATCAAAGTTTTCTGAGGTTTAGTCCATGTCTCGAAACAATTTTGCATGCTTTTTTCCAACAAAATTCTGAAACTAACTGACATCGGTTTAGTAAAATTGGTAAATGTTGTTGTAATACATACACTAATGTAGTACACCCCCAAAACAAAATCAAGACTTTGTAAAAGAGCATAATAGGACCCCTTTAATCCTAGTTACATATTCACTTTTTATTATGATTTTACAATATGTTTTAAGACGTCAATGTCTTATCTCCCAAAACGCCTGTAAATAGTCAGGATTATTGCAATCCCCCCCCTTTTTTTAAATATATTTTGCCAGTGTTTTAATCCATAAAGCACTGAAGACAAAACAAGCACCAGTGAGATTACTATCCAGAAATATGCAAAATAAGACCATGTTCAACATCTGTACTCAGTTTTAAATATTATATAGACTAGTGTTCAAACGTTTGAGGCCAGTAAAATAAATTTATTCTGCAAGGATGGATTAAATTGATCAAAATTGACAGTAAAATCATTTATAATGTTATAAAAGATTTATATTTCAAATAAATGCTGTTTTTTTTTTCTCTATTAATCAAGGTATCTTGAAAAAATCAGCTTTTTCAAAAAATATGAAGCACCTCAACTGTTTTCAACATTGATAATAATCAGAAATGTGTATTTTTGAGCGAATAAATGCATCCTTGGTCAGCAGATGAGAGTAAAAGAGCATAATAGGACCCCTTTAATCCTAGTTACATATTCACTTTTTATTATGATTTTACAATATGTTTTAAGACGTCAATGTCTTATCTCCCAAAACGCCTGTAAATAGTCAGGATTATTGCAATCCCCCCCTTTTTTTTAAATATATTTTGCCAGTGTTTTAATCCATAAAGCACTGAAGACAAAACAAGCACCAGTGAGATTACTATCCAGAAATATGCAAAATAAGACCATGTTCAACATCTGTACTCAGTTTTAAATATTATATAGACTAGTGTTCAAATGTTTGAGGCCAGTAAAATACATTTATTCTGCAAGGATGGATTAAATGGATCAAAATTGACAGTAAAATCATTTATAATGTTATAAAAGATTTGTATTTCAAATAAATGCTGTTTTTTTTTTCTCTATTAATCAAGGTATCTTGAAAAAATCAGCTTTTTCAAAAAATATGAAGCAGCTCAACTGTTTTCAACATTGATAATAATCAGAAATGTGTATTTTTGAGCGAATAAATGCATCCTTGGTCAGCAGAAGAGAAAATCTTAAAAATGTTAATGGTAGTGTTGTAGTCATCACTTTCGAAATCCTCCTCCGATAAAATTATTCATTGTTTTTCATAATTTATTTTGACATTTTTACAGAGGAAAGATCTAAAATGTGTACATTATGTGTATCAACACTTGTTTTTTCAAAGGTTTGTTACACTTCCAAATGTATGAGTGTCTTTGCATTAGATAACAAAATGACAAACCAAGTGACCTTCAATTTAAGGGAAGAAAGGGCAAGCACACTTGACTAATTTACAGCCAAAATGACTCAGAAAAAAATGTTGTGAGAAAAGCTTGTGCAGCATTTGGTTGCAGATTCCACTTGGTTTGATATTTTTGTCATCTAATGCAATGATAGATATTTTGAAGTATCTAAAAACTTTGGCACCACTTTACTGCACATGTGAACTGCAGCTGTTCTGGATTGCTTCTTTATCATGTCACTTTTTCACTGAAGATTATCAATGGCACTCCTGACATCATACACCAATTTTTACATTCTTTGATTAAGCCAAACCAATGAAAACCTCTTACAAATCTGTGTGTGTTTGACATTTTCTGCTGCCTTGAATGAATACATGAAACCTTAAACGACCTGCCTCATTTTCTCACTAGTGGGCAACAGTTTTCCCGCCTCAAAGGATTGGAGGTGGGCAACTGGAGCGGGCTCATTAGTTTCCCCGATGACGGAGGGATGAAGCCGGCCAGAAATGGGAGGAAAAGGTACAAACCAGCACAGCAACCTCTCAACAACACCACCAACACTCTAGAGAGACAGTGAGAGAGAATGCCACATAGACAATGATCAACCGCATGCATGTCTGGACTGGAGACACATCCAATCCCATCAGCCAATCAGACGAGCAGAAATAAGCAGCTGTGGCAACTACAATTTATCAGAGCCAATCAGAGGACCAGGACTGATTAGAGTTTCACTTGTAGATTTCCACACAGCAATGATCGCTTCAGGACGTATTTTTCCCATTCGTTTTCTCCAAAACCACCCGATTTGAAATGAAACTTTGATTTGAAACAAAAAGTTTTGAAACAAGTTATGAGAAAAAAGGTATAAGTGTGTGGTTTTGTTCACAATGGAATACGAGCTTACTGCATACTGTACAATATATGCTGCATACTAGCAATTTTTTGTGAAAAGTAGTAAGTGAAATCATTTGTATGTCATGCACTGCAAAAAAATGATATGTTTGTCTTGTTTTCCAGTACAAATATCTAAGCATTCTTAAATCAAGATACATTTACTTGAGATGTACGATGGGGAGGTTATGCTTAAAACAAGAACAAATAATATTGAAATATCTACGATAATATACGAAAAATAATATAGTTCTCTCTTTGAGTTCAGTTTATTTTTCTAACACTGGCAGATATTTTTTCGTTTCTAGAGTTTGCCACTAAATTTGATATTGCTGCATTGCATGTTCAATTTAGAAAGCGGCATTCAATCGTGTAGGAAAATATTGTGGTTATTTTGCATTTTGATCAAATTTTATGACATTTTCCCATGCTGTTTGCTTTATTGTATAGGCAGGGCATGTTATATGCATGTCGAAATAGTAAGATTAGTATGCTTTTCTGAACAAAGCCACTGAACTTAATTGGAAATGGACTACTTGCTCTATAAAGCATCGCAAATTACAAATGAATCAGATTATGGTACGTTATAAGCATATAAGTATAAGAAAATTCTATATATTTGAAGTTTATTGCAGCATTAAAATATATAAACATTATATTTACTATACATTATGATTAAAAATAATATAATATTAATATAATTTACATTTTAATTGCATTGTTACTTGTACATGTTACATTGTATACTTGAAGTTTATTGCAACATTAAAATATGTAAAAAGGATATTTATTAAACATGAAATATTAAACAAATAATAATATATTGTTATTGATGTAATCTGCATTTAAATTGCACATTATATGTATGCCGGAATAGTATGATTAGGGTTAGTGTTCGTATTCTGTTTTAAACAAAGCCACAAATGAGAATGAACTGTTTATCCCATAATAAAGCATCGCAAATTATGTAGTTGAATCAGATTATGGTACAATGTAAACAAATTGATACTGTAAAATTTAAATGTAAACTATTGATTTGAGGTAGAAAGTACTATATATTCGAATTTCAAAGTACATTAAAATATGTAAAAATTATATTTATTAAATGATTCCCGATGCAAATAATATAATATTATTGTTTATATAATATTTAATGTTGATACGCACACAAAACGTTATATTTACTAAACTTTATATTTATGAAATAATTAAACATTCATATATTAATATGTTATGAAATAATAATATATTATCTATATCATTTATATTTAAATGCTTTTTTTCTATGGAGGAAACGAATGGGATTTTTACATTTGGGGAGCCCTGCTCTTGTGCTCTTTTGTGGTTGTCAGTACTGGGACAGGAACTGAAGGGTCATTGAACTCTAAACCTAATCCACTTGTATGCATCTTGACAGATGTGTCCGTCAGAATTTTCAGCGTTCTGAGGCTCAGAGCTCCGTAGTTTTCACGCCCTGCCTAGCTGATATTCAGAAGAAAAAAAAAGAAAAGAAAAGGTAGGCCACACTGATGGCATCTCCAGTTCACCTCCTTGCCAACCTTACGTTCCCCCTTGAGGATGTCTCTTCGTCTTTTCCATCCGGTCTGAGAGGGTCCTACTGCTCATGCTCAGTGCTCGGTGCACCGCCGCTCCGTTTGTGCATGTTGTCTGCAACCCTCCATCCGCCCTCGACCTTTGACCTTTGACCCCATCACCCCCTTCCCCGCTCCCTGAGGTTGGGAGTCCTCCCTTGTGTTCCTCTGGATGTCATGGGCCCCTGTTTCTGTGTCCCATCATGCATTTCTGAAACCCCTCCACACCTCACCTGTGTGTGTCATGAGCACACTTGAGTGTGTGTGTGTGTGTGTGTGTGTGTGTGTGTGTGTGCACGCAAACGGTTTGTGTAGTGAAGTATGTGTGTGTGTGTGTGTGTCATGTGACTGGATTCCCGCTTGTACATTGTACCGCCTCTCTTTGACCTGAAAGATTTATTTTTTTTGTCTTTTCGGTTTTCTTTTCATCTAAATGATCAAAGAGCGCCCATGATTACCCAGTGTGCACCTCTTCAGGCTACAGCACAGTCGCATGTCATGACGTCACTTCAGTCAGAGATGTATGGAATCGCTAAATGTGTTTCACTTTTTTTCTTCTGCCTAGTTTTTCATGCTCCTTCACTTTGTTTCTTTCTTTTTTGTCATTGCTCTTCATTACAAACCATTATTTTAATTAATTAGCTCACATTTACCTTTCATAAGTTGGGTGAAGTTAATGGTTTTGCTCCAAAACCACTAAACAGCATCTTATTTATTATTATTATTATTATTAAATACTCAGTTTTTTTTACAAATATATTATTGCAATAATTTAAATAATACAAATAAAAAATGTTGTATTATTATTATTATTATTATTATTATTATAAAATAACAAGAAGAATAAAATATATATATAAAATAATAATGGAATGAAAAAATCGGAATAATAATAATAATTTATTATAACGATATTATTATAATTATTATGTTATATTATTATTATTATTGTTATTATTAAATACTTAGCCCTTTATTTTACAGTACATGCAGTATTATTGCAATAGTATCAATAGTATGACATAGTATCAAATAATAACATTATAATAATAATAACATAATATAATAATAATAGTTTTGAATAAAAATAATGATTATTAATAATAATAATAAATAGTAGTTAAGAAAATAATAATAAAATAATAACATAAATAATAAAATAAAATATTTTTGAATAATAATAATAGTTATATTATCAAATAATAATATAATATTAGCATTTAAATAATAATAAATGTAAATAATAAAATGAATAATTTTCAAAAAAATGAATAAATGAATAATCATGAATAATATGATAAGAAAAATAAGAAATGTTATATTATTAAGAATTATGATATTTTTATTTGTAAAAATATCATATTTTTATATTATTACATCATCAGTTTTTTTATTTACAGTCCAATAGTATTATTGAAATAGTAATATATTACAATAATAATACATTTAAATAATTAAAATATTTTTCGAATAATAATAATTAATTTTCATATTGAATGTGAGGCATGTTTCCCTTCTTTTTTGTTCTTAGCTGATCACATGCCTGGCTAATGCCAAGATACAACCGCTAAGACGTGATCTTAAGACAGTAACAGTTAAGAAAGATTTTGTTACTGTACAAAGCTTTTAGGATGGAAAGCATAATTTAAATCATGTTATTATTTAACAAAGAAGAACATTGAAAAAAAGGGTGTAATGTTTGTAGCCTTTTTCATCAAATTCCTTTTACATAAAATAATCCATTTAAGTCTGGCATAATAGCACCCATTAGCATGATAGTAAATAGATAGATGGGAGGTCTTTGGCTCTGTGAAGGCTGTTAGCAGCCATTTTGGCTCTGATTTCATTTACAGTAGCAAGCCATCCACCATTAAAGTCCATTTAAAGCCCATTAAAATGGAAACATGAATCTCTGAGTATGTTTTCATAAATGCCGTGCCTGAGGCAAGACTGAAAATGGCAAACAGAGACATATAATGAGAAAAACACTTCCTGATGCAGTCTACTTGCTCATAGTTTACAGTTCATTCGTTTAATCCATGTTTTTAATGCATATTTTCTGTATTTCTGTTTCACAACCAAGGTGAGGATTCACATTTCATCCATTCAAAGCCTGCTGCCTTCTCTTCATAGTGGTGAATTTGTTATTTCTTTTATATTTCTCCTCAGAGCATCAGAAAAGACAGTTTTAAGCTGATTGTGTCTTGCGTAACAGAAGGAGCGAGTCTTCAGAGCAGCTTGTCAACAATCCTCAAGTGGCATTCCTATTATAATCTGGAACCAATGCAAATGGGATCAAACAAGAATCCTGTTTCACAGCGCACTATAGAGAGCGTAAGCATTTCTGCTCACGAGAGTCGAACAGTGAGTAGTTCACTGTTGCTTCATAAAAGATTGAAATGCTAAATAGTGCATTTTCAGTGAGTTTTAGTACACTACGCATGGCACAAATAGGCCTGTTTATGCTTCAAACCAGTGATTCTTAATCTGGTGGCCTAAGCACTGTGTCATAGGGGCCACAAAAATACTTACAATTATTGTGGTTCTCAATTCCAGTCCTGGGGGCCCCCTGCTCCACACATTCTGCATGGCTCCCTTATTTAACACACCTGATTGAGATCATCAGCTCGTTAGTTCAGTTCATGGATCGCTTTCCTAACGAGCTGATGATCTCCATCAGGTGTGTTAAATATGTGCAGAGCAGGGGCCCCCAGGACTGGAAAACCACTGCTTTAAAATAAGCGAAAAATGAAGGCTTATTTTAATTCATTCCTTCTACAATTTTTATGTAAGAACCACACTCTCCATGCACAATCTTGGAAAACCTGAATATATGAGTGAGTATTAAAAGTGTGATTTTTCGACATTACAAATTAATAAATGTTAAAAATAAATGAATAATTTTTTAAAAACAAGAAATAGGCCCATGTTTTTGTTTGTTTGTTTTTTAGTTAGTTATGTTGAGATCAAAAAAAGTTTTTTAGGTTGAAATTGCAATTTGTTAGTATTTATATAATTCAAAAATATATATAATATTTAAAAACCAATCTCAAAAATCACAAAACAACAAAAAAAAAGATAAATTTTTAATAATAAATAAATTAAAAATAAATGTTTTGTACAGATATATATACAGTATATATTTATTTATTTTTTAAGCGCCAAAATATTTGATAAATATAAATACAAATATTTCTTAAAATCTGTAATCAGAAATGACTAAAATTACTACAAAAATCATGTAAATTCATTGGTAATAAAACAAGTATAAACCCTGAAGAACATTCAGTTATTGAAACTGAGAGTTACTTCTGCAGCTACAAAAATGTGTAATTATTTTCATTAAATATTATAATAAATATAATTGTAAAATGTATATTGGCTAAATATTTAAGTATTTAATAACAAAAAACAACAACAACAACAAAAGTTTTTATTAAGCAGCTTTGTCATTACAGCAGAAGTACCAGGAATATCATAAACACTGACAATGAGCGGACTCTAATATAGAATGTACATGCAATATAAATAAAGAAAATATCTTCTTTTTAAAAAAAGATTTATTTTGCCATTTTTTGCCTTTATTACGATAGGACCGTGTAGAGGAGACAAGAAGCGAAGTGGAGAGAGAGAGGGAGAGGGGGATGGGACCGGGAAAAGTCCTCGAGCCGGGATTTGAACTCGGGACGTTCGAAACGCAACACACTGCCCATAGGCTATCAGTGGCAATTAAAGAAAATATCTTAACTGAGTCTTAGCGGATTCATGTTTGATTCTATTAGGTTTGGTTCCGAGTTGTGACAGAAATCCACTGGTGTTTCTTCAGGATTGTTTGACCAGACTGCAGAGACGAGAGCGTTGAGGATCTTCAGTTAGGTTCTCCATGCTGGAAGCTCATCTCAGGTTGCTCCTGCAGTGTGTGTGCGGTGCGCGTGTGTTCAGAGGACACGTGTCTGACTCTGTGTTCTGGCAGGTATCTGGAACACTCCGAAGGCTCTTTAGAGTTCAACTCCACTTCCTGCAAGGAGCTACGGCAAGAAATCACAGATGTGAAAGTACTGACCATGTAAGTTTCTCTCTCGGATGTCTGTCCGTGTCCATACAGAGCGAGCGTTCCAGCGGGAGTCACATTTCCTGATGAATGTCTCGTCTCGAAGGACAAACCCTGTGAAAAGAGCATCTATTTAAAGAAATACAATATTTGAGCAAGAGCACCCTCTCCTTTCCACTCCATGGCGTTTCATAAGGAAAGCTACTTGTAGCTGGGACTGCTGCTGTTTTTCTCTTATTTAATTGACTTTATGTGTGCGTGTGTGTTAGGGTGAAGACATCAGAGCTGTTCGAGCGATGGAGGAACCTGCAGGTGTGTAAGTGGGAGCAAAACAAGGAGGAGACCGATAACTTCAAGTGAGTACATGACCATTTTTCTATTTTATCTCCCAACTTCAGCACAATCTTAATGGGATTCCTTCGTTGAAACAAAGGAATGATGTCATCTCCAATAGGATTCTTTTGTGGTAACGAAGCGATGATGCCATCTCTCCCCCTGTCCAATAGAATGTCTCTGTCCCGTTGCTGCAATGCCCCCTCCTTCCTGTTTACCACTAAGAGAAACACTCCCTCGGGCACCAAACTGCGTTATGAGGTGGATACGAGTGGAATCTTGCACATCAGCCCGGAGATCTTTAAAATGTTCCCTGATGTGAGTGTGAAATCACGCTTAATGCGCTGGCTTTGACTACATGAGCTCGGAAGAGCAGATGAAACTGCGAAGATGATTCCTATTGGAATTTTGATCATCATTTAGAACTGATTCGAATTGGAATGTTCTAAATAGATTCCTTGTTGTAGGATCGTTTAGAGGATAAAATGTACGGTGGCCGAGAAGTGCAAAGCAAATCACAATTCTGAAAACAAAATAACAAATTACAAACGCAAATGCAAGTCTAAAAAACAAAATAACAATTCAGAAAGCACAACAACAATTCAGAAAACATTATAACAAGTCAGAAAACACAATGACAAATCAGACAAACCGGAAGAGGTAGGTATAGTTTGAGACAGCGCCATTGGTTTGGGATTACTCACCGCTGTTGTGTTTTCTGACTTGTTATAATGTTTTCTGAATTGTTGTTGTGCTTTCTGAATTGTTATTTTGTTTTTTAGACTTGCATTTGCGTTTGTAATTTGTTATTTTGTTTTCAGAATTGTGATTTGCTTTGCACTTCTCGGCCACCGTAAAAATGGCCATTCAGGAGATCAAAAAGAAAATCTTTTAGATTAAACTTTAACGCCTTTAAAATATTTCCTTTTTTTAGTAGCAATACATTATTCCAATGTAATAGAAGTACATTTCTGAATAAATTCTAATTAAAAATATTCTAGACCTGTAGAAATGTTAGTTAATCCATTTTATTTACATAAGATTCTTATTTGATTCTTTAGGTTTGATGCCAAATTATATTATATTATATTATGTTATATTATATTAAAATGAATAATCTTTAGGTTTGTGGCCAAATTATATTATTTATATTATATATTAAATTGTGTTGTATTATATTATTTCCTTTTTTAGTAGAAATACATTATTCCAATGTAGAAGTAGATTTCTGTATAAATTCTAATTAAAAATGACATAATATTCTATCTAGACAGAATTCATAATATTCTAGAACTGTAGAAATGTTAGTTAATCCATTTTATTTACATAAGATTCTTATTTAATTCTTTAGATTTGATGCCAAATTATATTATTTATATTATATATTAAATTGTATTATATTATAATTATATTATTTATATTATATATTAAATTGTATTATATTATATTTCCTTTTTTAGTAGAAGTACATTAATCCAATATAATAGAAGTAGATTTCTGAATAATTCTAATAAAATATCCTATCTATTAATAATAAAATATATAATACATAATATGTGTATTACATTATATTATATTATATTATATTATATTATAGTATTATCTTTAGATTTGTGGCCAAATTATATTATTTATATTATATATTAAATTGTATTATATTATATTTCCTTTTTTTAGTATAAATGCATTATTCCAATATAACAGAAGTTGATTTCTTAATAATTCTAATAAAATACCCTGTATTCTATTCTATTCTATTCTAATCTCTAGGTTTGAGGCCAAATTATTTTTTAGGCCAAAAACATTATAGTGCATAAAGGCTTTAAGTAAAGTGTTACCAAGTTATAATTAAAAACTACACAATAACCTCGATCAAAGAAGAATAATATTAGTTAGTTCATATGATTCACAAAAGATTCTTATTATGTGATTCAGTTAGGATTTACTCCAAATTCTAACAAAATTCCAGTAGGAATCCTGAGTAAATTCCATACGATTGGTTTGACTGCAGTGAAATAGAATGTAAATCAAAATGGGTGAATTGACATCTGCATATATGCTGAGATCTCCACACACACACACACACACACACACACACAGCTGAATCTCTCACATGGTGCAGACACCTGATGAATCAAGCATCCTTATCCTTAAGTATCAAGACAGCCGTTACCTAGCAACCTCTGCAGTGATCACACCCTAGAAACCCTATGCCTGCAACAGTTGCCAAGCAACAATCTCCAAGCAATCATCCCTGTAATCCCATTTGGGTTGCTCCTGTCCTGTTTCTGAATGTATTCTGTGCTCTGACTGCAGGACATGCCCTATTCCAAATCCCAGTTTAAGAAATGTGCTGTTATTGGGAACGGCGGCATCATCAAAAACAGCAAGTGTGGACGAGAGATCGACGCAGCTGACTTTGTCTTCCGGTAAAATACTGTTGTTTGTGTTGGTTTGTTTAGACATTATGGGAATATATAGAGGCATCTGCTGAACGACATGCCAAATCTCTTTCAGATGTAATATTCCTCCCATCTCAGATATGTACAGTGAAGATGTGGGATCTAAGACTGATCTTGTTACAGTAAATCCCAGCATTATAACTGAGAGGTACACACACACACACAGATGTTACAAATGATTATTATAGGATTTGCTCATATTGTAAATACCAGTGTCTGGGTGAATCTCACAAAAACATGTCCAGGTTATATTAAAAAAATTCTAATCTTCATTCATTCATTCATTCTTATTTATTTATTGTTTGTTTGTTGCCAATATTTACCCTTTTAATTTATGTAAAGAATTCTCATTATATCCTGATGATTCTTGTTATTCTAATATAATAATCGTACTGTGATATTTATTTATTTATATTTTTCAAAAATCAGCTAGCAAAACAATGCTCATAACTTACAGGTAACACAACAAATACTACCATGATGAATATAAATACTTTGTGATTGAATTAATACATATGTATCTTGAGAGTTTGCTGTAAAAATGTGTTAAAATAAGGGTAATTTAAAATAAATTCTAATAATAAAAACTAATAAATAATATTCTAAAAAGCTTCATTTTATTTAAGCAACATTTAAATGAATTTTATTAATTATTAATTTTATATTAATATAATAATATTAATAATTATTATAATAAATGTTATTTTTATATATTAATCTATGAATTCACATATTAAGTTATATTAGTAATAATAATAATAATAATAAATAATAT